CTCGAGTCGGGCGGAATGGGACCGACCACTTGCCAGCCGGTTCGAGCGAACGACGACTAGCTATGGATCCTGACATCGGCTCACGTTAATTAGCTTATAAATATTTCATCAAAATATAAAATACACAAAAAAAAATGGATATAAATTTTTCGACCAAGTGCTGGTTGTTTTTAAATTATTAAAATGTAAAAAAAATTAGAGTATATACAAAGCATAGGTACAATTTATTAATTATACTTTTCTTTTCGGCATTTCATGTCACAGTGGAAAGGACTTAGCTTATTTGCTACTCAGAAATCATTATCTGTGTACTCAATTTCTTATGTTTACTGCAAGTTATCTAGTACACTTGTTGAAGCAAACTGTCATTTGTATGTATGTTTGTATCAAATTTTGTGATTTCTCATGTTCATGTCCTTCCATTGCTTTTATCATTTCGCCATCTAATCATATAATTTTATTTTTAAGGCAGGGTAAAGCAGAATGAGGTACTTTTTGTTTTTGAACATTGATGATAGTTTCGAATGTGTTTGAATTAAGTTGATTTTATCCATTCAATGGAGTTTGTATTGTTACGAAGGAAACTAGAGTTTGTTGTTTTATTTTTTTATAAATTAAGTCATAATTTCGATTTCTTGATCACTGAGGCAGCAATTAGTTATTTTTACGATCGTCAAGTTACCACACGTTCAAAAGTAGGCTCTCTTTGGCGTAGACCTTTGTGTTTTGTGTTTCGACACGGCCTTAATGGAGCTTACAGATGCCGTCTGTTGATGTGAAAGTTCGAAGACAGTATTACAGCACGAAAACAACATGAGCTGGAGAGAGGTTGTGAAGAGTATCGTTATAAAAGGTACCTATTCAAAAACATGTAAACAGACTAACTTATCCTAAATGTCAGATATGTTGCTACAATGTGCATTTATGATATCTTCCTTTTAATTTGGATTGTGGGATCAGTGCCAAACTTTCTCCTTCTTGTTTAGCTCAAAAGATGCAATTGTTAGCATGCTTGAATAAACAGCTGAGTTATAATTTAGTTAGTCTGCCATTTGTGAATATTTTGTTTTGATAGTAATATGTAAATCTTTTATAATATATTTGTTTACAATAAATAAATGACAACATTATAAATAAATGAAATTGTATTTTCCATTTAAACTGATGAGAAAAAAAATATAAAAAGAATAATATGCAATGAAATTCGTTGTTTTATTCAAATCATCAGCTAAATCAAATAATAGAGAATAAAAGGTTACACATACATTTAATGTGGGTTAATATAGTCGAAATGCCTCTTTGACTGAAAGTATTTGAAATAAAAACTATAGAATTAAAGATTTAATGATCTCTGATTATCGGACCATGAGTTACTATATTTTATTGTTAGTATGACTTCCATAAGTATTTATTTTGCGATAACTAGAGTTCTTACATTTGAAAATTGGTTCTCGTTACTCTTCGCGGATTCGGAATTTCGAAATATTTTTTGCTTGAAGTGGTACAATGATACCAGTCTGATTTTCGTTTTTCCATATTTCTTAATTACGTCGTGTTTACGTTATGTTCTTCTTTTCTTTTTTAAATTATTAAAGCTATTAATAAATTCAACTTTTGCTAATTATACTCCAAGATGGCAAGGTTAATTCGGTGTATCAATATAAGTATCATGTATAAATATAATAAAATATAATTTTATGTGGATTTTTGGAGAAATATCAGCTAGAGTAATAGAATTTTAGGAGTTGTGATTACAACTCTGAAGGTTTCGCATGCCTTCACTGCAGGGTCTGCAAGATACTGGTTGCAAATTGCAATATGCAATGTAATGAACGTCTAATGCTTAAAACATTAAGTTACCTCTTGAGTGTAGATCAAATAAACCTTTCGATTTTTCGTAAATTTGTTTTAATTTGTGAAATATAATATAATAGCACTTTCTTTCAGTGCTTCCAGATCGCGAAAGAATCACTTATTACAGTGTTGCCAGCTAAAAAAGTATAGTACAGTATTTTCAACAGTTATATCTACAGTAGAAAGAATTTGATTAATATTAAAAGAAATGCAATATGTATTTTCTTTTAATTGACTTGTTTATTCTGAAATAATGTTTTATTTACATTTTTATGGTCAACCTTGACAACATTTCATCGACATATGGCTTGAGTTGACATGTTGCCTTTAGTAGTGATTATAGACTGTTCCGTTATTTTGTTTTAGTATTATTTAGTTTACTGAAATTGCGATTACACTCAATTCGTTTGTGTTTGAAAATACCCAGATCAGCAGCCATGGAAGTATAGCATACAGTGCAATTGGCTTTATAGCGATTCTTGTTATCAGGTTTTAGCCACTTTCGGAAATCTTGTATGTTGAGCTATCCATGGCGAAATTGCTGCCTATAATTCTTTTTTTGCCGTAGTCGGCACAAAAGTGTGAACATCACTTTCCAACGGTTCTTCAGCACATGGATTTATTCCCTTTTTGTAATAATAACAAAAAAAAAACAAAAAATTTCATACCATATTTTTGTTCACAGTTAAAAAATCTGACCGAATAAAGGTCTAAAGGATTAGAATGTACGATAAAAAAAATGTGTATTGTATTGTTCCTTTATAATACAGGGACGAGTTCCTGTTAGTTTATACTAATTCTACCCTACTTGGAGTACCAACTGATTTATCAGGGATTTCATTTTACTACGTTTCATTTTACGGGTTGACTTTGCTTACTGTGAAATTGAATACAGTACATCCCTACACGGTTATATTGCACTACAGTGAACAGTGAAAAATGCTTATAATTTTTTAAAGTTTTTTATAGTGCTAATCTCTGCACTTAAGATTGAACATTAAAACATGTAGAAAAATTACGAAAAGATTGTCGCCTTTGTGGGAATCGAAACCACGTCTTCGGCAACCGACCCGAAGACGTGGGTTCGATTCCCACAGCGGCGACAATCTTTTCGAACGTTTTCTACATGTTTTACAATCTACAGAATCTTTGGGGCCCAGGTTAAAAAACTCTCTTTTGCAGGGTGAAGATAGTGTTTATGTCAGCTGCATTTCCCCAAAGTAGAATGCCATAAGACATTACTTCACATTACATATAATGTGAAAATAGCTAAAATATACCAGATGAGCCGTATCCACATCAGTCAACTTTTTATTTTTTTTAAGCTAAGTCTACTCGCCAGTTTATTAATATGGGGGCCCCATTGCAATTGGCATCTACAGTTATGCCAAGAAATACAGTAGAGTCAATGAGGTCTAACGCTTCCCCATGTAAAAGTACATCAGTTTTTACACTTTTTACGTTGGGAGTTGTAAATTTAATACATTTCGTTTTTTTTACTATTCAACAATAAGTTGTTAGCACTAAACCAATGTAGTATAGTGGAAAGAGTATTGTTAACATCGTCATTATTTAAAGAATGTCATTCATCCATCTAATTTAATTTCCTTATTGCGTTTAATTAGGTATACCTTACAGTTCTACCTAGCATAAGTGTACATAATTATGGAATATAAAATTGTGTCTTGCATATTGGAGACCAAACCTCCTCGTTTCAATATTGTCCGAAACTGACACATGCTGTTCATTTATTGTTATGCTTTAGGTGCGTTCCACTAAGCGCCCACAACGATCAAAATGCTCCTTTAGTCGTTCCACATAACGACCGCGGTCGTTGTGGTCGCGGCCAAAACGTCACTTATGACGTCATGACTTACGCTCACGGCGACCCATTTAAAATGGTGGGTCGTAGTAATCGTTGAGAAAATTAGCGGCATTTGCAAAATTCAAAATGTCTAAGTTCAAAGTGTCACCGCAAAAGACATTTTAATTACATTTGAACGTAAATTAATTAAATACACCACTAATATTAAATATAAAAAATTAAATTATAACTTTTTCAATATAAATCGGTTTAAACAATAATTATTAAGGTTTATTTTCAAGGCTTACAGATTATAACCTAACCTCTTAAATCTTTTGCTTCCTTTTTTCTATTTCGCCGTTTGTATTATTTGCCTCGACGCTCAAAACGCTCTATAATCCATTCCACTTGAGTTTACAGCAGTAACGCTCACAAGCAAGTGGAACGGGAATAACTGCGGTCGTGAGTGTTATCGTTGTGGGCGCTTAGTAGCGCACCCTTTGTGATCCCATAAAATCGATTTTACTATTAATCGATCTCTAATGTACATCCATATTCAGTACTTTCTTTAAATTTTAATCTGTAGTACCAAAGGGATGTCGAAAGTTAAGAAATTAATCGATATATCGATATTTATAAAAATGTCAATATCGGCCTCAATATATCGAATAGAAAATATTGATGTATTAACATTTTCTCTTTAGGCCCCATTTTCTAAAAAAATGGTGTGCCGAGCATTAAATATTTGTCACATATGGACTCTGTGTTGGATTCGAATTTGAAAAAGTATCTCTTTTCATACGATTTCGATATTGAGTCCGTTTCGTCCCCGCACATGGAAGTTTTTTAGTCCTTAGTCCTAGGTTTAACGCCGCAGCTGGAGACAAAAGAGCTGGTTCTTTTCTCGCTTAAAGGTTAAGCATAACTATACAGCGAGGAAATTCATCTAGCGTTCTTAGCACCATGCCGCGTGGATAAGGTCTATTAGATAAAATGTAATTATAGACAGATTTAATGTTGTGAATGTTGGATAAATAAATACGTTTTAATTTTGAATTGTATTGAATACTTTACATTGATGTATTTACATATCGAATCCAATTATATCGCCTGAAAATATCGATATATTAAATAAAAAACATCGATATAACGATATTTTTTCCACATCCCTAATAATAATTACGTATAATAAAATCTATTACAATTAGCCTGAGGTTAAGGTATAATATTTATCTAAGATATCAACTTAAAAGAGATTTAATACCTTTATAGGTGTTATTTTAAGATGATGAATTTTAAGGAAACCAAAAATAAATCTGCCTTAAGTACAAGATGGGCGCAAATGTCCAAACAAGAGCAGATTATCGAAAGGAAAAAGATGGAGATTCAAGCTAAGGTTGAGGCACAAAAGCAAGCGGCTGCACTCGCTGCACAAGCAAAATTATCAAAGTACGTTTTATCAAATTAACTATATTTTTAAAATTAAACATTTCTTTGATATCGTACGGTATTCAAATAGAGATTTTCAAAATGTTTACTACACTTAATTAATACTAGCTTTTCGCCCGCGTCTTCTCTCGCATTGAAGCCCTTAAATAAATATCTTTCAGCCCGTACAACAATTTTTTCCAATTAAAAAATAGCCTATGTCCTTTCTCAGGTTCTAGAATATCTGTGTACGTAACAAAATTCATTTAAATCAGTTCAGTAGTTTTGGAGTGAAAGCAAGACAAACAGACAGAGTTACTTTCGCATTTATAATATTAGTATGGATTAGAGATTAGTTGCGTTTTAAGCTCCAAAAATATAATAAACAATTATTTCAGCTCCAACACAGTTGACACATCATCGGGAAATATTTTTTCAAACGATGGATCATTTATGAGTCAATATAAAGCTTTACTTGAAAAGCAGAAACATGATAAAGAGAGAAAAGAACAGAGGGAGAAATTGGAAGAAGAGAAAAACCTTAAAAAAAATGAGCTGAAGAAAGAATATTCCGAGTTGCAAGATAAAAGTGAAATTAAAGCTAGTATTAATGAACAGTTCTCTCAAGATGTAGATGAAAGGAATACCCTTGATAGATCCACAAGGTAATGAAATAACTATTTTTATATGGTGCACATGTTTCAATTATTACTTTAACATATGACTTAAAGACGGTAAAACTTCATGACATACATCTCGTTTTTCAAGCTTGAAAAAAAATTTAATTGATAGGGAAATGTTAATAATGAAATATTTCATAAGTTAAAAAAGCTTACTTTTATATAAAAAAATAATTAAAATTTTTTCATTAAGAAAGTCTGCCATTTTATTAATTTGACTTCAAAAACATGAAAGCACAGTTCTGCCAACATGATAAATATAGAAAGCAGGCAATGTCATCTTTAATTTATTTGTTTTTTTATGTAAAAAAATATAAGAAATATTCAAAATTTATTACTTCATTATAAAGTAAATAAACATAATTTAGCTAAATAAAAAATGTAATTAATTTTTAATCAATATAAAATTTTACAAAATTAAATGTTCATAATTTCACATGAATAGCGTAGCATTGTTGACTTTTTTGTATGGGCACCTAATATTCGAGACTAAGTGCTACTCCAAGCCACAACAAAATTTAAACTATATGAAATTATTTAAACTATATTGACTAAAATTTTTTCAAGCTTGAAAAACGAGACATAATGTTGGAAATTTTTACTATAAGCTTTATTGACCACTAGATTCAATACACCCATAATTAGATATACAATACAATGATAAAATAAATTGCTAATGGCTTGTGATGTAGTGATTAAAGATATTTCATTTAATAGTGCGCTGATGGATTCATGTTGGTATTGTAGCAGTAAATTGCTACACCAAAGTCAGCCTTTCACTTCCACTGCTAAACAAATTCCTCATCTAAAGATGGTCACAGTGCATGGTCATGAGCCACCTCCATCTTTTGACTTCACCTATCTAAATGTATTTCACTCATCATAACATGTAGGTACTGCATTAAAGTTATTTCAAAGTTACTGTTTGCAATAACTGTACAACTTGTTTCAGAGACCTTCATCACAGGTGGAGTGATAGAGGAAGTAATCGCCCCCATAGCCCTACCACACCAATCCTTGATGAACAGAATAAAGTTCCAGAAAAATCAAATATTCCCTCACTCATGCAAATTCCTGTTATTGCACCAGAAAGTTGTGTACCAAATTCACAAAGCCACAACCCATGGACCCATGGAGAATCAGATACTGAATCTGAAACTAATAGTGAGGATAAAAAACATATGGGAATTTGTCAACCTGGTTCTGGAACTATAGGATCTGGTCAGATTGGTGTTAATTCTTTGAATTCACCTCAATTTACTACAGGACCTGGACCTGTAACAACAAGCCATGGACCAATGTCAACTGTTCCAATGAGACCTGGTCACATGGGATCTGTTCCAATGGGTCCTGGTGCAATGGGACCAGGCCCAATGGGACCAGGCCCAATGGGGACAGGACCAATGGGACCAGGCCCAATGGGACCAGGCCCAATGGGACCAGGGCCAATGGGACCAGGCCCGATGGGACCAGGCCCGATGGGACAAGGTCCTATGGGACCAGGCCCAATGGGACCACTGCCAATGGGATCAGGCCCAATGGGACCCCATACAATGGGCCCAAACATGGATGCCATGGGTCCAGTGGGTACTAATGGAATGGGACCTAATCAAATGGGTCCAAATGGACCATTGAATATGTGCCAAAATATGCCCCCAGGACCAAATGGAGGACCAAGACAAAATATTCCAAATATGGGACCCATCATGCCAACCGGTGGACCAAATATGCCTCCAATGCCCCCCTTCCTTGGCGGTCCTAATTTTCCGATGCCGCCTAATTTTATGGGCCCAAATGGCCCCCGAGGTCCTTGTGGTCCCGGTTCTATGCCGCTTAATATGTGTGGTCCCAACATGCGCGGCCCTGGACCGAATGGTCCCATGCCTCCATTTTTCGGGCCTCCCTTTGCGAATCCAAGAATGATGGGTCCTAACGGCCCACCAAACTCAATGATGCCACCTAATTCTATGAATAATATTCCCTTCATGGGTTCTCCTCCGTTTGGCCCCAACAGTCCTAACTTCGGACCTAACGGTCCTTTCAGACACGGGCCTCCTAATATGCCCTTTATGTCTGCCAATCAATTACCACCCAATTCCATGCACAACATTCCGGAATCAAAATCGATGGACACGGTCAATATCCCACCTCCAGAATCCACAAACCCACCAAACATACCGCCACCATTACCATTGAACCATATGCCGAAACCGAAAGATTTGGATCCCGCAAATATGCCAGCAGCACCGAACACTGCTCAAGGTATTAGGCGCTTTATGACTAGCTCGTATTTTTTTAAGTTTACCGTTTTTGGAGTACTCAAAAGCATCAATGAATGACTACTGTATTGTAACTCTGTATATCAAAAATTTGTCTTGTGCACGTAAAAAAAAGCCAAGGTAGTCGCGAAAGGAAAAAAAGATTAACTCTGTCCTGATGTTACAGAGCCGAGTGGCTCACTGCTGGCCGTGCTTAGATCGTTTGAGTGCACCGGTGTTCCGTGTGGCCATAAGATCCAATGCTGACTCGTGGTGTGCAGTTCTCTCTGCAGATATGTTCCCGCCGCCAGTTCAGCGCGCCGCCGCCGAAGTCGCCAGCAACGGTGACCACTGGGAAAATATCCTGAAAGCCATACACTCACAAGACCAAAATTTGTGGTAATACCACTGTGATCAGTCTAGTTCCCAAACAGGAGGATATGTGCTGTATTCATTTTTATATTTACCTTTTTTTTTTTTCAAACTACTCTAAAAGGAAACAGTGTTATGGACCCTCTGCATCATAAATAAATTTTTAATATTTTTTTAGTTTTCGTGTACATTTTAAAACACTTCGTCAGTAGCAAAAAAATAGCGATAGCGGTTCCCCATACCACACCACATCGTTATTGATTGACTGGCTCATATAACTTTTTTAAATAGTTTCTTAACACCGTTTCGCACCCTTTTAGGTTAAATGTCTTTTAAAGTCGTCCTTTGTTGTTGTTTTCATTTATATATTAGACTTGCATTGGTAAATTTACAGGTTCCTACATAATACCAATTCTAATGAATATAAGGCGTTTCGTGAGTTGGTGACGAAATTGCGAAATGAGACAGCCGGCGATAACAAGCCCGAGGTGAAGCCTGAAGATAAATATGAGCCAGAATTTTGTTTAGAGGATGATGACAGTTATGATGAAAACCGGCCCATTAAGCAGGAAATGAGTGACGGGTGAGATTAGACATTTATGTTAAAAATCTAATAGTAATATTTTCACCTTATTATAAGTTTTGGAGGCATGTTTTACATATAAATCTTTGGGGGATTAAATTCCAAAATTTTAATATTCTATTAGAAATTATACGTAAATTAGTTGTATTTAATAGTGTTTACGTAACTCGTAACTCGAGAAATGTCTATCGGTGAGATATTTACAAAAACTATATAACTATTTAAAAACTATACAGCACACCATACAATAGTGAGGTAAAACGTGAGGATGATGACTCACAAGGGAACAAGGACTCGGAAAGTCGAAGGAGGGAGCGTAAGAGGAAATCCAGATGGGGCAATGACCCCCCCGCTGACGTAAAGCCCCCTGGTTTAGTTGCTCCATTGCCCCCTCCAGGTAATTAAAGACTTCTGTAAATATGATATAAACATCAATGATTAAAAATATAACTATGAATATAATAAGTCTATGAAGTTGAAACCAGTTCTTTTTTGAAGGTTTTAGAGTAGTATAAACATAGAAAAGTATAAACTTTTTGAATACAAAGTATTTGGCATAGTTAATGTTTATGTGGAGAATATATATGTGTGAAAAATACATAGAATAAAATTAAACATTCATACTGCCAATCTCAAGCACATAATAAATCTGTTCTCAAAAAATTGCATGGTAAAAATTGTTTCCTGAAAATTTAAGTCGAATTCACTAAAGGAATTTGTTAAACTGGCTTAAAGAATTAATTGTAAATAAATTATATTTTACTGTCAATTATCAATTTAAAATTGTGTTATGTACAATAGTTTTATTCACAATTTCATGCAACGAAACATTCTTTTGTGTTATGCAACTTTACTGTAATATTATAACTATTATGCAACAAATTTTTGTTTTAAGTAATTAAAAGTTAATAATAAACTAATCGTTTCAGGCACAAAATTGGCCAAAATTGATGAGGATGGTATTAAATTGACAAATGTTAACCGAAACAACCCAGCTCTAATGCAGTATGCCATGACTAATTATGGTACCACCAACCTGAGTGTTGAGGATTGGAAGAAGTGTGAGGACAACTTTAAACTGAACCTGTTGTATCAAGTATGTTTTCTTTCAAAGTTTTACAATATTTAAATCTATACTATTCTGTACTTTATATAATAAAGTGGAAGAGTTTATTTTTTTTGAATGTGCTAATCTCTGGAACTACAAGTCGGATTAGAAAAAAATATTTTTAATATTCAGTTTTTAACTTCACGCTTCAGCTGGAGGAGCTGGTGGTTATCTGTATATCATATTTGTTATGCTGACATATACTATGTTGACATTTATGTCAACATAATAAATGTGTTAACACTTGAGTGTTTTCTGGAATATATGATAGTAAAATTAATAACAAATTTTATTTTATTAGGACATGTTAAAAAAAAGGCAAGAAGTAGACCGGTTAGCACAGGCAGGCAAACACAAGTATGAATATGACAGTGATGAAGACACATCTGAAGGCACTTGGGAGCACAGGTGAACATAGAATAATTTGGTATAAAATATTTTGATATTACAATTAGTAGAGTATCAGAAACTGGAAACAGTAACCAAAGTAAAATATGTTACGAACATAATTGAAGGAGAAGAATATCTGAGAGCCCTGAATGAAAATCAATACAAAATAAAAAATGTTATCATTACCAATATTTAATGCTGTGGAAGTTTCGTCTTGTATTTCTTCAGTCATACATAGTGTAATACAAAGTCGTCCATCTGTCTGTCCGTCTCTATGTATAGTTAGATCTCTAAAACTACGGGTTTTGATGCGGTTTTTTTTTTTAATAAATAGAGTGATTCAAGAAGACGGTTTATATGTATAATACATTGCACCCGTGCGAAGCCGGGGCGAGTCACTTGTTCAATATATATAATTATTCCTGTGAAAGCATGCATCATTGTCTCTCAATGAGTTAAAACTCAGCACTAAAGGCTGATGTTGAAGTTTGAAAAATATATTTAAGTAGTATGTTTATATTTGAAAGCAATAATGGCCTTTAATTTTTTTCTGTTATTAATTATTATTCATTCAATATATATCAATCCACGTCAGATTACGTGCGAAAGAAATGTGCGCGACAGAGAAGTGGGCTGATGAGCTCACAAAGCAAGCAGCTGGGAAGCATCATATCGGAGACTTTTTGCCACCTGAAGAACTTAAGAAGTAAGTAACATATATCTCATTCGAATTATCGTTCTAAAACGATAATTCGAAATTGTTTGTATGCTGGAAAGGATATAACAATGGATGCGCCAAGCATTGCTTCAAATGCTAAAAAATCAATGTAGATAAAAGACATTAAGATTTTCGTAGGTGTGGCAATCAGCCGTTTAGCTTAATAGTTAAAGCGTCAGGCCGCGAATGCCGAAGACGTGGGTTCGATTTCCACAGCGGCGACAATCTTTTCGTACTTTTTCTACATATTATAGTATATACATATTCAAGTAAGTCACATGTTAATAATTAATTGTTTTACTGTGGTATAGCCACAAAGCACTTTCTACTGTTGCATTACTTGGCCAGATTATTGGGGAATTTTCTACAATCCCACAGACAGACCGCAAGGAGTAGAATTATTTATGTATTTAGTGAGTAGGTAATCACTACTATTTTCAAGGTAGGCAAAAGTACTCTCAAGGATGGTCTGTTAATTTTCAGATAAATAAAAAATATCTCATATACTATGAAATTGAGGTAATCATAAATGATCTATTACATTAAAAGTTATTGTATATACTTTGTTATATATTTGCATTCTTTGTTTATTTCAAATGTAATATTGTAACAACACTTTTTTTTCTTTAATGTAAATGACTTATTTGTGAACTAAATGTTCTGGAATAAAGAGCAATTTCTATGGCTGAATTTTACTTACTGTTAGTTTGCATTAACTTCAAAATTTGTAGAAAAATTCTTTAGTTTGTAGCAGGTATAATTTACTATTTCTAATTCACTGAAAGGATTTCTCTTGTACGTTTTAGATTTATGGAGAAATACTCGGCCGTTAAGAGTGGGAAGGAACCAGATTTAAGTGATTACAAAGAATTTAAGTTGAAAGAAGACAATGTTGGTAAGGGTCTTGCAATTAAATCTATTTGCTGTAGCCTATAAGCAGTTATTTATACTTTATATCGGTTGTGTTAAGTTTTCAGATGAATATAATATAATTTCAATTGTTTTGAAGTAAAATAATTTTAAGTTAATTTCTTTTATCTTGTTTCATGCAAATGACAAATAACCTCATTAGATGTATATACCCCTTGCAAATCTAAATGCGAATAAGCGTAGATCCATCGCTTTTCTGTCTGTTCCTCCTAATGCTGAAATTAAATCTTAACAAATATAATGTCTAAAAGCAACGTTATTCGCGACTATATGCAAGATATATATAGATAGAGTGAAAGAGAAAGCAATTTGGTCTGTGGTCGGAACAGGAGAACATCTTCTACCAGCACTCTTCTTCTAACTAGTCTGTATCTAGAGTTCTATAGCAGAAGACTTTGTTCAACAGTGGACATCCTCCATCTGATGATAATAATGACAAGGCGATAAGGATAGAAAAAATCCTCTAATAAGGTTTTTAGAATCCAAATACTCTTTTCAGGTTTTAAAATGCTGCAGAAACTGGGCTGGAACGAGGGACAGGGGCTTGGTGCAGAGGGATCGGGTATTGTAGAACCAATCAATAAGTGAGTCTGTATTATTGATTTGATTATACAGTTTCAATAGTTTCTTCTTCGTCTTTTTATATAATTCTTTATTTTAAAGTTTAAGTAAAGGTAGTATTAGAATCATAAATGAAAGTCGACATAATGTAAAAGATGTTACAGTAAAATATTCAACTAGAAGTATATTAAACTAGCTGTGGTAGGGCCATGCAGCAGCCTCGGCTGTTGCACGAATGGGCAGGCTCGTCCGGGTAAGTACCACGACCTCACAGGAGACCGACGTAAAGTGGAAGTATAATAAGTACTTTCGCGTTTCGTCTGGTGAGTGAGGTAGCCGGAGCCCAATCTTGAAAAGGTCAACGCATCTGGAACCCTCGGGTGTAGCAGATGTCCATGGGCGGCGGTATTCACTTAACATCAGGTGAACCGCCTGCTCGCTTGGCAACTTTTCACATAGAAAAATCAGATGTTCTCATTACGTAAAGGGATGTGTGAAATAGTTTTAAATTTCTATGATTACTTTGCTAAATAAGATAATGCTAAATATTAGCATTAAGTTTGCCTTTTGTTAAGCTTAAAGTTGAGGTGTAAAAATGTAATTTAATTTGTTTTTTTCGTAAAATTAAGCACAATTTAGCTTTTAAAAACCCCTTTAAATTGGATAGCTTTTTAAATCTCAGCAATTAAGCGATGAGCACTTAATAAATTAACTCATTTGCCAATTGGATTCTGATAATGAGTGTGTAAGACTTTTTCGAAAATGTGAGGCCTTATTAAGTGAAATTTTTCGAGTACGACTTCCAACCAACCATCTGTTCTTTACATTGTGAGTATGCATATATTTCGATGATACCAAGACTCCGTGGCGCAGGTGCCAAGGTATTAGGCGCTGGGGGTCTCGGGTTCGATTCCCACACAAAATAACTATCTGTTTCAGATCTTGGAGTTTCGCTATCTGAAATATATGTATCTAGAACATTCTCACAACGCATGATAATGTTATCCTACAGGAAAACTACAATAGATCTTTATGAAACTATGTTTATATCGCGATATATCGCGTTTATTTTTTGTTTTAATTCCTGAAGTTTCCCTTTACAGCGTTCATGGTCACGGACAGACTAAACAAACATTAAAAAATAAACGCGATAAATCAGTAAACATAGTTTCATTTAGTAATGTGTAATCGCGTAAATACAAGAAATTATTATACAATCAATCTTGTAAGTCGCAGTCAAACCCTTCCGCACATAATACAATACAATGTATATATTCATTTATGAACATTTTGTGTGTACAGAGCGAACCAGCCTGTTGCCAATCTGGGCCTGGGAGCGTCCAATTCCGACACGGTGTCACAGGAGGACGACGAGTTTGACGCGTACAGGAAGCGCATGATGCTTGCTTACCGCTTTAGGCCGAACCCACTTGTGAGTCCCCAATTGAACACATTTGTACCACGTCTAATTGTCCGAGCCCTCGACTTGGTCGGACATAGAGGCTTCACTGTTTGATTTTGTGCTTTTTATGTTGTCCTTGTGCATTGGTAGAAAGATCTAAGTGAATTAAATATTCCTTATGAGAATTTTGGCAATACAAATATTAAATATTTAATGTGAAGTTAATTTTTAAGTATTTCCTCATATTATGGCAGTTGCCATGCAATTGTTTAATTTAATACATAGAAAAAGACGCCCAAAATGGATAAAATAGCACGAAACTAAGAATATTATCAGCAAAGCGAAGTCAAAAATATTATGAGCGAATATTTATGTATTTCTGTGTTCATTGTCTATGCTCTTATACTGTCAGAATGTAGTATCTTTTAATACTTCATGCCACATTCCATGTACATACTTGAATTGATTAAAAAATCGAGGTTTATTAGTATGAATTACTTTTGAGTATGGACTTGATTGCTTTATTTATAAGATTTGAGAATAAGAAGAGAAAGTTGAGCTATCAACAGCAATCAGAGCTATGAGGTAAGGTTGTGCAAATATACATCATCTAGCTATGATTCATCATTTTGACAACTCAAATGACATTTGAAAAGCCATTTGACAGCTGATTAGTTAATTTCTATGATGATCATTGTTTCAGAAACCGCGCGTAACGATACTATAAATATGGCACATATCTACATTAATTGTAACAATAATATTTAACCATTTTAAAATTTTATTATTTTAATAAAAGCTTACTTTAAACTAAAAAAAAATGTATATGAAAAATTGACACACAATTTTATCTGTGCTGCGAAATGTTTTTTTAATTTTAATCGTGTTTTTCTTTTTCAGAACAATCCAAGGCGACCGTACTATTGAGCTTACTACATTTTAGTACACTAGAGGAGTCTTGTGTCCGAATTAACTATGTGCATGAAATAATAAGAAATTATTGTAAAAATGTAGTATCTACAAAAGCGAAAATCCAAATTACCGTCTTACTTATACCGTCATTAGAAGGAATAATAGAAGCAAAAATGTCCACCTTATATGAATATTATTTCTAAAATTAATCACTTTCATGTGTCAACCATTCATGTGTCGTCTTTAATTGCATTGCGTTCTCCATTGGCTTTAATTGCAACTATGTAAAATGTTTACAAAACAATTAACTTCCATTTCCCTTGTTCCTTTATTTTGAATTAGATAAGGTAAAAATATTGGTAAACAATGATTTGGTCTAAAGAGCACACTCTAGAGTCAATTATCACTTTAAATGCATTACATATGTTTATTTGCGATGTTTAATGTTATTAGTATACGAGAATATAATATGTAAGACTCAACCGGACAAATGAGTAATTTAATGCCAGATAAGGACTAATTAACATCTCTCCGTGCATTCCTAAATGTTGGAATGTCCTTTAAACAGAATGTACAAAGCGCGTAAATAGGTAACAATGATAAAAGACTGATTAATGTCGGAAAAAGCGGTATTGAATTCTTACATCAAAAGTTTACGTCTTGTTCGTGTTCACCAATATTATCCTATAGAACAATGTGAAATAATGGTGATCATATCAAAAACATCACAATGTGGTCTCTATAAATAAAGTGTTAAAAACGTGTTAATTACTGTTGTGTAATTTTATTTTCCTCATTGTATGTTTCATTGGAATAATGTATTCAGTTTTGAAACACGTTAATACGTCGATTTGTATGTTTTTCAATAATTTGGCGATATATCTTAATATTAAGTATCTCCTGACGTAAGTAAAGAAGTAATTTGTGTTTTATATTTGCTCAAAATTTATAACTGGGCAATATATGACGACTTGTATGAAGTGAGTATTTTAAAACACCCTTGTAAATATATAAATCTAAACATAATTGTAACTTCGTATGATTCTCTTCCAATTTTTTAATGTTACAATGATATATGTTGTAATTTTTTTTAATAAAAGGCCTTATTGTATTGTTGATATGAAGTAAAAGCTATATAAGTATATATTTTTCGTTTTATTTTTATTATGTAAGTGAAACATACGATTAATTAAGAAACACATAAAATTGTTTGTATACTTATTATTTGTTTCATGAAATCAACACTATCAGAGGGTTGTGGAAGGTTGGCAAGTAGAAATGGTATGTTAAACATTAAAGGCATTTCCATTTTGGTCCTTTCAATATGTTAAAGTATACAATTAACGGTGGTAAGGCCACGCAATAGCGTTCGCTGTTGCACGAATGGGCAGGTCTCTTGGAATTTCTTGCTCGGCAACTTGGATTAGCCAAAGAAGTAGGACTTGGGGCAAGATCTAAATTGTTGATAAGCAATGGAATGAACTTGCCACCAAGCTTAATTCTATGGATCTGGGTCTTCAAAATCTGGATAACGATGGAAAAAGGTTTGTTTTTAAGGTATATTCTGAGTAAAGTAATTTATTTTTAAATAATTTGTCTAATTTGGTGTACTCTGGGTCAATACTCCTTAATTAGCTTATTTTTTTATCAAAATATGTGTTTAATTGTGGGGGACTGGAGATAATACACACAAGAGCAAGGCTGGTGGTGGTCCTAGTAGCCAGATAGATTTGTAGATAAAAAAGTCTTGGCTATTGTTGAGGAGCAAGCTATATTTGGTGATAGTGAGCACAGAATTTGTGTATTTGTTACTTCGTCGACATAAACTTAACATAGTAATATATTTTTAAAACAATATGTTATATCTCTATAGGGCTATTTGAATATTATTAAATATTATACTATTAATACAAGAACACACAACTTGAAAATGTGTTGCATACTGTAATTGAACCTGAGGAAGTACATGTAAAGGGTAAAATTTTGTAGTACATATACTATGTATTTTAAAAATATTACAGCAAGCTCATCATCAACACAAGGGCAAACAGTCAGAATTTGTTAATCTTTTAACATTCAGTATAATTGATTTCTCTTTCATGTCTTTCATTAATTTCAAATGATATTTGAAAAGGAAAAGCTAAGCTTCTCACAGAATATACATATAAATGTATTAAACATACTTAACACTGAAATATCTCTTTTTTTTGAAATTGATACTTATTTTTACAGACTTAAAGGCCCATTTACACGGTGCCAGTTTCTTGCCTGTTGTATACAATTAAATTGAAGCAATAAATAAGTTGCATGGTCTAAACAACAAATGGTCTAACCAATTATTGCGCGCAATTTATTGCATTCAATTATTGCTCTTGCATGTACAAGAAAATGGCATCGTGTAAATGGGCCTTAACTCATGGTACAACTTCAGAGATACAGTTAGCTTAACCATCATGGACTATTTTTTTTAGATATATTACATTTATTACATTTATTATAGTTACCTACTAATTATTTTCCAGAATAATGTTACATGTTAGGGGTTCGAAGGATTTGGAGAGAAAGACCTGCTGACTCTTTTGAAGACTTTATTTACGCGCACTAGGTCCAACACAAAGCACTAGGTCCAAACACTAAGCACTAACGTTGTCCTATTTTGTAGCCAAGTCGTAGGTTTCACTGGTATCGCTCTTGATCACTAGTTTTCGCTCCGAAGTCGCCTTGCAGGTAGCTCAAACTGAACTGTATTCGCTCGCCTCCCCGCGGCTTTTTATATGGGTCGAGACCGGTTCCGGACTAATCCAGAAAGATCATTCCTGGAACGTACACGACACGCACGAACATGTTCGTGATTCCGGAAAGTTCACAAATGTACCCGGTTTTCGAGACTATAGTTCCACAGCAGTTCCTCTAACGCCATCTAGTGTTGAAAAGGGGGTTTTATGTTGTCTTTGTTCTTTAGTGGTTTTACTGTTGAAGCTAGATGGCGTTAGTTCCTTTGTGTGTTCATAACACTACTCCCCTCTTAGAGATGCTCGTCCCGAGCATCATTGTTACTGCCATGGTAACGCGCCAGACGGTCTATGTGTACCACTTTGAATGTCCCTCTTGGTTGCTTTTGAATCCTATAGGTCACATCATTTAGTCGGGTAACCACTTTGTATGGACCGTCCCACTTGGTCTGCAACTTTGGAGATTTCCCTTTCCGGCGAGTTGGGTTATGTAGCCATACCAGGGACCCTTCCTCGAAGCCGTTCGTGTTCGATTTCCGGTCGTATCTGGTTTTCATGTTCTCACTTGACTGTAACCCATTTTCCCGAACCAAGGCGTGTATATAGCGCATTTTTTTCCTTAAATTGCAGACATAGTCTTGTACGGTCTCTGGTCCCTCCGGTGACCCTCCTGTCAATAGGTCTACTGGTAATCGTAGTTCTCTACCGTAATTGACATACGCCGGGGTAGCTTTCATGCTCTCATGCTCGGCGGTTCGGTACGACAGAAGGAAGAGTGGTATATACTTGTCCCAGTCCTTTTGTTTGTCGTCTACCAATTTCGCCAGATGCCTCTCTAGGGTCTGGTTAAATCTCTCAACCATTCCATCAGACTGTGGGTGGCACGCGGTGGTCCTCGTCTTATGCATGCCCAAAATTCTACACACTTCCTAGAATACTTGCGATTCGAAGTTCCTGCCCTGATCGGAATGGATTTCTAGAGGCACACCAAAGCGACATATCACTTCTTCGACTAACTTAGGAGCGACTGTTGTAGCTTCTTGGTTTGGTATGGCGAACACTTCGGGCCATTTGGTGAAGTAGTCCATGACGAAAATAAAATACTTGTTTCCCGACTCCGTTACAGGAAATGGCCCAGCTACGTCAACTGCAATTCGTTCCCACGGTGCGCCGACGTTATACAACCGCAGGTTCCCACGGCTTCTGGTCTGTGGTCCTTTTACAGCAGCGCAAGTAGTACATTTGCGGCACCAATCCTGTACATCATCTCGACAGTGCAACCAGTAGAATCGTTCTCGCACTTTTGTTAACGTCCTCTTGACACCTAGATGACCTCCTGATACGCCATCATGTATTTCACGGAGAACATCTGGTACTCTCGTTCTCGGGACAATTATCTGAAGATGGAACTCTCTGCCGTTAGTCTTCTCCCATTTCCGGTAGAGTATTCCGTTTTGAAGTATCAGACTATCCCATTGCGCCCAGTACGCCTTTGTGACGGCGCCAGTGGGAGCAACCTCACTCCAGATTGGTTTTACGTCACCCCGTTTCTTCCATGTGATGATGTGCCGAAGGTCGTCATCTCTTTCTTGAGCCTCCCTCATAGCATCATTCTCCCAGAGACCCAAAGGACTTGTTCTCGTTAGCTTTAATGTTACTTCATTAGATTCCTATTTGACGCAATGGTTGCAGTCTTCTGAACACGGCCTTCGTGAGAGTGCGTCGGCATTCCCATGCGTCTTTCCACTGCGGTGTTCCGTCTTGAAGTCATACTCCTGGAGCTGTTCAATCCATCGAGCTACTTGACCTTCTGGGTTCTTGAATTGCAGTAGCCACTTCAAGGCTGCGTTGATCACGCAGCCTTGAAGTGGCTACTGCAATTCGCAGTAAAAACTGTCGCAGTAAAAACTGTCTGCCGACGAGATATTTGTTGAAATGTTGTAGTGTCTTTACAACAGCCAAGAGTTCTCTTCTTGTCACACAGTAGTTTCTCTCTGGCTTGGATAACGATTTGCTGAAATATGCAATAACAACTTCTCTTTCACCCTGTTTTTGAGATAACACCCCTCCAATGGCCGTGTTGCTTGCATCTGTGTCGACTATAAACTGACCTTCAGATTGTGGATACCCCAGGATTGGTGTTTCACACAGATGTTTCTTCAGTTTCTGAAAAGAATCTTCACAAGTCCCATCCCAACTGAATGGTCGTTTATCTTCTGTCAGCCGATGTAATGGCTTGGCTATCTCTGAGAATCCCTTAACAAAACGCCTGTAGTATGA